AAAAAAAAAAAAAAGATTGTGTACATATTAAAGTGAATTATGTTATTTGTTCTAATAATGATTTTTTTTCAAAAACAAACACTGAAGAATATTAGACACACGAAAGTACAAATATTACTTATGTATCTCATTTTTTTGCTCAAGATACACTTACAATATTAAATTTTATAACAGATTGCATATATCCAAAGACAGTTCCTGTAGTAGTTCTGTTGCATTTCAAATTACCATCCAATGTGTTGTTGTCATAGGACATTCTAGAATTACTCGGCTGGAAGTTAAAGATGATAAACTGAGTTTCCTTAGTATAACTAGGTTTTTCATTTATTAATTACATTTCCATAAATATGTACATACACTTGCTCTTCCCCTCCCAACCTCTCTCCCCTGCACCATCCACTCCTCTTCTGTTTCTGCTCAGAAAAGCCTAGTCTACCTGGAATATCAACAAATATGGTATTTCAAGTTGAAATATACTGGGCACCTCCCTCATATTAAGGATGAATGAGGCAACTGGTAGGAGGGAAAGGGTCCCAAAATGTAAGCAGAAGTATCAGAAGCAGACACCACCCCCTCTGTTAGGTTTTTGCAGTTTATTGTTTTCCACTTTCTGTTTCATTTGTTGGGAATTGCATCTTGTTTCTGATTTCACTTTTTATGAATTCATGTCGTATTAAAGTCTTCGTTCTGTAATTTTGCCTTTGAAGAAATCAAGTTTTCATAAGAAAAATTGTGCTATTATATAATTCTTAATTGTGAAAAGCCATTATGTACATTACAGTTAACGAAAAATTATTTGTGATTGGCATAGCTCTTACAACTTAAACTAAGCTATTTCAATTATTTTATATTTTACCACGTGACTTGTGGTTTCTTACCTCTAGCATCTTGGGCATCTTCATGGAGTCTCTTACTCTACCTAGACTCTCTATACATAAATCTGTTCAGATTTCCCCTCTGCCTTTACTCTGCTAAGCCATTGGCCAAAAGTCTTTATTTATCAACCATAAAAGCAGCACATATACAGAAGGACATCCTACATCAACAAGAGGTGCTTTTTACTAGTTCATTATAAATTTGACACAACCTGGGAAGAGGAAGTCTCAGTTGAGAAATTGCCTTGGTCGGATTAGGCACGTGGTTGCCACAGTGAGAGGTTGTCCTGACTTTTGGCAGATATGGGCATGGCCAGCCCAGTCCATTTTCTATGGCACCACTCCTAGCTACATAGTCCTGAATTGTATAAGAAAACTAGAGATGGAAGCAGCAAGATACAATCCTTCATGCTTTCTGCATTTCCTGCCTTGGTTTCCTTCAGTGATGAATATGACCTGGAAGGATGTGTTGAAACACATTATTTCCTTACTTTCTTGCTTTTGGTCCAAATGTTTAATCATAAAAATGGAAAAGCAAACCAGGGAGCCAGGCTTTCTCACTATTAGTTCACCAGTCTATTGTGTGGTCCCAAGTATGAATTTATGTTGAACCCAGAAATTAGTTGAAACTTTCTTATTTTTTTCCTATTCTTTTTTTTTGGCTTTTATTTTTTAATTAATTTATTTATTTATTAAAGATTTCTGTCTCTTCCCCACCGCCGCCTCCCCTTTCCCTCCCCCTCCCCCAATCAAGTCCCCCTCCCTCGTCAGCCCAAAAAGCAATCAGGGTTCTCTGCCCTGTGGGAAGTCCAAGGACCACCCACCTCCATCCAGGTCTAGTAAGGTGAACATCCACGAAACTGCCTAGGCTCCCACGAAACCAATAGGTCCAGTAGAATCAAAAACCCAGCGGACAAGGAGGACTACTGAGACCTCAAGAAACTTTCTAATTTTTATGGTGAGGTACAATTCAAATGTCTGAAGATATTTCAAATTAGATTTTTGTATACAGCTGTAAGACAAGAAATGTTCACGACATCTCAACCAGTAGGATTCTCCTAAGCTTCCCATATTATGTAAGTTTACAAAATGTTTAAAGCACATTTACCTAGAGTAAAATTTCTGAGACCTTCTGCTGCAGAGCTGAGTTTACTATGAACTGAATCAGGCCTAAGAATCCAGCACAGGAAATGAAGGAAGGTTGCAGATACAACCCAGTTCTTGCACAAGAAGTTGCTTGTCTGGAATTGCACCCCCAATGTGATCCCCAGCACCTTGAAGGAAATGACAAGAATTTCCATGGCTCAAATATAATATGTACTCTTTTCTGTGTTAATGTCCGAGGATAATATTACTAACATGTTGTTTAAATCCCTAGCATTTCACAAAGCACTCATGGAGTAACACATTTCTTGGAAACACAAATGTCCATTCTAAAAAGAAAATTAGATTTGTAGATGTGGCATTTTCGTCCATGTTTATCTTTTCTATTTTCCATGCATTTTACCTCCTGTGAAGCTGTCTCCCTCCATATTACTCAATGTTTCCATTTCTCTCTACAAATTTCCTGTTCCCTTCAGATGAACTTGTGGCTGGGCTCCAAAG